GTGGTATTGACTTTCGAATAGGGAAATAGTGTAGAGCGGCAGGTTTGACCATTGGATCAATTAATAGGAGAAAAAAAGCACAACAGCTATAATTTGTTCAATACCCATTTTAAAATGAATAACTTGAGAGTTGATGTTAAGGAATAAGGATCCACTTTGACAGTTTGACTCCTTGCATGATAATAACAAAACAATTCTTCATCAGCTTGCCAAGTGTTCAGGTCACAAATGATTTCAGAACGGCGAGCTGGATCTCATACAGACAGTTTAAAGACATACTTCTGATAGGTCATTAGTCATTACTGGTTCTGTCATCCTGCTGGTTTTCATATTTATTTGTGTTTCTGGAAAATGGTCTTTCTTTACTTCAACTCTCTTTAAGACTCATATGCACATAAAGTTCTGCCATTCTGTAAGATTTCCAATCAATTATGAATCCGAATTCCAAAGTCCCCCTTCTTAGTGAGATGTAGTTAGTTACAGAAACTCCAGGGACACATCAGAAACTATAGGAGTGTGAAAATTTTATGCTCATCCTTTTTACTTAGTTTATTGGTTCTTAAGTACTTTCATTTGAGTAACGGTATTTTACTTCATATTTGGTCTATGCTTACTAAATCGTGATATCAAACACAAAAGAAAAACATATGACATATATCATCTTCTTATAAAGTGTTCGGAAACGGTTTTACAATTTGGTCTTCCTTTGAATGCAAAGACAGACATTCTAGTGGTTTCTCTGGAAAAGTCAAATGATCACATCCCCAATTTTTCCGTTTTCATCAACCTATGGGATAGAGGAAAAATATTGTTTACTATGTATGCATGCTAATAGCTGCAGCCAAATTAAAGATGATATTATTAGAATTTCTAAATAGTATTTCTGCTAACAGGGTAGGCTGGAGCCTGTAGAAGCACTTATAAAGAAGAATAAGCTAGGGCTGGGAGCAGAGAAAGGAAAGAACTCAAAGAAGGCAAGCGAGCATGCAACTAGTGAAACAGATGGGAAAAAAGAAAAGGTAAGTTACTATAAACTTATAAACTACGTAGTATTAAGCTAATTCTTCAGTCCATTTTTCAGCTTATAATTATTGTGGCATTTGTTTTCATCATCATCGTTAACAACAACATCCACGACAGTTTGATTTAAAGCACAAGAGAGTTCAAGTGGGTATGATACGTTTTGTGATTGATAATCAGAGGTGTTCCTCATTATACATTATTACATAATACAACATGACTATATATACATAAGAAGGGTGCTAATATAAGGAAACTAAATCTCCCATATTAATGCCTAAATCACCCATATTAGTGGCCAAATCAGATCCTGCCATATTCTCAGGACTTAACTAAAATACTAATATTATTACTAATAACACTCCCCCTCAAGTTGGAGCATATATATTTATCATGCCCAACTTGTTACATAAATACATAAGCCTGGTGCCATTCAGCGCTTTAGTAAGGAGATCTGCTAATTGATCTCCTGTCTTCACAAATCCAGTGGAAATCAATCCCTTCTGTATTTTCTCCCGAACAAAGTGACAATCTACTTCAATATGTTTTGTCCTTTCGTGAAAAACTGGTTTGGATGCAATATGAAGAGCAGCTTGGTTATCACACCATAGTTTCGCAGGGATGGGAGCTTTGAAACCAGTTTCATTCAGGAGGTGATATATCCATATTATTTCACACGCAGCTTGTGCCATGGCTCTATATTCAGACTCAGCACTAGAACGAAAGACAACGTTCTGCTTCTTGCTCTTCTACGAAATCAGATTCCCACCCACAAAGACACAATAACCGGAGGTGGACCTACGATCATCCTTCGACCCTGCATAATCTGCATCTGCATAACTTTCAATGTTCATGTGACCGTGATTTGAATAGACAATACCACGACCGGGAGTTCCTTTCAAGTAACACAGAATATGTTCCACTGCAGCCCAATGATCAATTGTTGGGGATGCCATAAACTGACTTACCACGCTAACAGGATAAGCAATGTCTGGGCGGGTCACAACCAAGTAGTTCAGTTTACCCACTAANACCGTCTTTCGTTAATTGCATGTTAGGAACCATAGGTGTATTACATGGTTTGGATGCGAGCTTTCCTGTCTCAGACAACACATCAAGCACATACTTCCTCTGTGTAAGCAATATACCTTTCTTGCTTCGCAAAACTTCAACCCCTAGAAAATACTTCAACGGTCCAAGATCCTTTTTCTGAAACTGACTATGGACAAATGTCTTGAGTGATGAAATTCCTGCAAAATCATTTCCTGTAATAATGATGTCATCTACATAAACAACCAGTAAGATGATTCCACCCCTAGATCGCTTATAAAAGACAGAATGATCAGATTGGCTTATTTTGAAACATTCACAGTTCCTAAAGTAATTACAGAGTAGTAAATACCATGTTGTAGATACAACCATATGAGCTCACACTCTGTGGGGGCCATAATTTGGTATTATGCTTCAACTCTTGGTCTAGTAAGTACATCTTTTTTCTTACTTTCCCAAAAAAATTAGATTACCTCCAACTAAAACACATTACCTAGAACTCAAGAAGTGGATCTTATATGGCCCACGGGTATAGGATGCCTGTCAACCACGGGAATGAAATACTTGTAGACTTGTAAATTCTTGAACTCAACCTGAAAACCTGACCCAAATTTCCCCGAAAGTTTAGGGTCTTAAACATGATTTTTTAGACTTGAACCCGAAATGTCCCAAACCCGTTTGACCCGGATAATTTTGGATCAAGCCCAACCTGACCCGGTTTGGCAGTTGGGCTGACCTCGAAACGAGTCAAAGTTAAATTCCATCCATATATTTGAGAGAAAAAAATTCGTGTTAGTTCATATGATAAGTTGTATGAATGCTAACATAGTACGGAGCATGATTTTAGAATATATTTTTCTCAAAAAGTGTGATTTTCATATTTAAATTGCAGAAAATACTTCCTTTTAATCTTAATTTTTCATATTATTGTAAGTAATATCATTACCTTTGATCATACTATAAATTTTAAACTTAAAAACAAAACAGTCATTAAAATGAGATAAAAAGGCTCTCGACCCTCAAGGTCATCTCAGTCCTGCATATTCAGGGTCAGGGTTGAGGAGTTTTCAATCCGAACCCAAAGTGGTACTCGAACCCAACCTGCCCGACCCAATTTACACATCAACCCTTGATAAAAACTGAAAGTCGCCGTGAGTCATCCCGCTTATTGACCTGAAAGACATGCCAATGATCTCATACTTTTACCAGTATGGGTGGTCGCACTCTCAGGCTAGCAGTTGGCTTGAAGGTTCCTTGAATATATTGTGATACTCACTAGGGGGGACTCTATCTCAAGCAATGAGATAAGCTAGATCTGGAACACTTAAATGGTTTTCTATTCGTAAAACTCAATGAGTCAATGGTGCTTTCCTTTGAAGCTTATGTGTGTTTTACGTCATCGGATCAACTCATCTCTCTGCGCATCTTGCCTTTATTAACACCATTTATTTTGAATTGGGTTAAGGTGCCATGAGAAAATCTCAGCCTTCTGTTAATCATATTGCTGATTGTTGATCCCATTGATCTATTATTTTTCTGAATTCATTTTTGCATGTTTTATTAGTTTATGTGTGTAAAGGCAATGCCTGGTTTGCGGCCAAATCATTTGTTTTGCTCATTTCTGTTGCAGTTGAAAAAGAAAACAAAAGCTGCTACCAAAAAGATGAAAAAATGCTAGAGATGGAGAAGCGCTTGCAAGAGACTGAACTAGTAAGGGACTTCTACAGGGAGTTTTGGCCTGATAATGTTTGATTCATATCCTTTTCATGCTCGCGGTTCCGAAAATGCGCAATTTGGCCTGTATTTATCATGTAACATAAATACATATTTCATAACGTTTATTTTTTATTTCAGTCAAATTATTTTTTAGAACATCTGCTTCTCTATGTGGTTGTAGATTCTATGAAGTGTTATTAATCCATATCGTAACCCACTTCTTGCATTCGATAGTGGGCTAACAAGAAATCTCGATAGCAACAACTGTCTCAAATGGTCGGACACTTAGTTAGGTTGAATAGGCGGTTAATTTGTTTTCCCTTGACTGAACTTATGCTCCCCTAATTGAAACTCGCCTCAGTAGTGCTTGTTTTGCGAACATGGACATGACGGGGAAATGAAAGTTCAACTATTCAAGTACATCAAACTTTACATTTTCATTATACTCTTAGGAATTGTTAAATGTAAAAAGATGTCGTTAACCAAACTTTGAAATGGATGACCTCTTTGTTGGAAAGTATATTAACAATAGAAATCTTGAAAATACTTTGGATGAAGTACTGACATGGTTTTCATCGTCTCTCGATGGCTACCATATGTCCATATAGAATATGAAATTCCATATATGATTTTTTGTACTTTGTGAAAGTTTCTCATTAACATTAATAACTCTTCCATAATTAGAACTCATAGAAGAAAAAAACAATTATATTAATAAGTCATAAGAGTTTTAAAGTTGTCAATTTTAAAATGTGGGTCAACACAATCACAATTACAATCTTTTAAATAGCAGAAATGAAAAGATAACATTCACAATATTTTTTATATCTGAGCAATAATATCACGCAAATTTAAATACTTCCATGTTCTTAAAACAAGTAGCAATCTAAATACACTCATAAAAATAAGATGCTAACTCACTTATAAACATGTAAAAAGAACAAACATCATTAAATATTTTCAACATATTTACAATTTTTTCTATCAAATCAAATTCATGTACTCCCTCTGTCCGGAAATGATATTCTCATTAGACTGTTTTTGTTTAAGGTTTGTAAACTTTTATTTTGATTTATGAAAAATATATATTTTTATTTCGATATAAATGTAATATCAATATATTTTTTTACTAAATATAGTTTTAAAATATTATATCTTTCATAAAATAGTATCTATATATAAATATTAATAATGGTCAAATCTTGAGAGTGTGAAAAGTTCATTTGACTATGGACTTGGTTCTAGGGAATTACCTACGACAAAAATTACCCAACTTACAAATCTACTCAAACTTTATATTTTGTGGGGATTTATCTTCCAACTTCCAAGCAAGTGGAAGAAAGAAGTATGGGTCAAGTGCAGAGCGGGAATGTAGCTTCGGCATCAGTGGATCAAAACCATATCACTCCTCCTCAATCTGGTTCATCCCCCACCGCCACATCCGCAGATTCCAAACCCCAACCCTCGCCGCCGCCGCCGCCTTCACTCGATTCATTGATTGCCGGTGCGTAGTACCCTGCTCTCCATCCTCTTTACGTGTTCCGAATATTTATTTTCCTTTGCTAGAGAGTCTAGACACGTTGATGATGTTTGAGTAAATTCTATAATTGATCCTTTATAGCATGAGGTTTCCCTATTTAGTCCTCTATTATCAAATATTACCCAACTAGTCCTTCTTGTATTGGGTACCTTTCCACAAATAGTCCTTTTTTTGATCTTCTATCATGTTGGTGTTAATTTTAGAGCTAAAAGTGTAATTTCACAATGATAATATATCTTTTTTGCCATACACAATTCCAAAGGTTGTTCCGTTTGCGTCGTTTGTGAATTACAGTCGCTTTTTACGACAACTATAGTCTACAAATGAGATCTTTCGTCAGAATCCTAGCCCACAATCAGAGTTATTATTTTTGTGTTATTCGCTTAACCAATATCAGAACACGTCACTAGACATAATGTTGACGTCAAATTATACTTTTAGCTTTTAATTTAACACCAACACGGCAGAAGATCAAAAAAAGGACCATTTGTGGAAAGGTACCCTTAAAAAAAGGACTACGGGGGTAATATTTGATAATAAAGGACTAAATATGGAAACCCCTATGTTATAAAGGACCAATTATGGAATTTACTCATGATGTTTTGATGGTTTCATTTCTTCCAATCTGTTGTATCCTAAATATGAATGTCTGAAGAAAGGGGAGGTACATTGCGAAGCATTGGATCAATTGATAGAAAATTTTAGAAGAGACAAGTTTGGAAGTTTTTCATTGCGGTCTGCGGAGTTTTATTGTATACATATAGAGGGTGTCTGGGAGTGATTAAGTTGCGGGTAAAGTGATTTTAAAAAAAACCTGAACTTATGCACCTTATGTAGTTATATGTGTTTCTCTAAAATGATGATGTATATGTGCTTCTCTAAAATGATTATCTATATGCTAAAATGCTAAATAGTGATGTGAAAAAAGAAGTTGACATGCCAAACAGATTAAGACAACGACCACACAAAGCAGAACCAAACTCTTAATTTGATTTAATATCTTTTCTTGAATGTGGAAACATGTCAGGACTCAACTCTGGTCCTTGGGTGGACTAGGCCGTATTAGCAGATTTGGCCTTTGTCACATGGTAGCACAAGTACTATGATTGTGTGATATACCCGATAATACCCGATATTAATGCAATCAGCTCACTTCTTAGTTCTTACTCATGTTCACAGCATCTGATTGTTACTAGAATAAGAAGCCAAAGATAAATTCCAGATGTTAAAAGATGGTTTCTACTTTTTCCTTAGCCCAACCAGGCATGAGGTCTTTATTGAAATAAAGTACAATGGAAATAACTGGCAGACACATAGACAATTTCATAACTGACTTAGACTCTAAGCGGACAGTGGACTTGCAATGGAAGTAACTACTGAAGTAAATAAACTAAACAAGGGAAGTTGATTCAACAACCACAAAACCAATATAGTCCCAACTCTGTTGACTCAATAATTATAAAAACAGCTGTTTTCCTATTTCGATGTTGCTGAAAAATAGTGGATTACTATGAGTTTTATCATTACTCCCTCCCTGGAAAGCTGACTTGTCCTATTGGCAAAATGTTGCTTATTGCTCAAGAAAGTCATATTTACTAGCATCTTCTGATGGTTGAGATTTCTATCAGATGAACTATCTCTCCATAATTTTATTGGGTACAAAAACATGGAGACCGTTTAGCAAGCTTCTGGTGCCAAGTGAAACGTCTCAATGAATGGATATGCAGGAAGACACTATCCCTACCCCCTAGGGTTAAAAATAAGCTCCCAAAAGAGGCTGAAACATCAATATGAATGAAGTGGAGGCAAGTGCCTAGGTGCCATTTTCGCCTTATATGTTAAGAACAAAAGCACACACACACGAATAGAAAGCAAGAAAGCAATAGAGAACACGAGATTTAACGTGGTTCGGTCTAATCTGACCTACATCCACAGGGGCAACTAGGGTTTGTATTATTGAGTGATGATGATTACAAGTACAGGAGATCAAATATATAGACAACTAATTAGGGTTTAACCCTTGCTGGACAAGTTATAGCAAACTGGGCTTAAAACCATTTGGGCCGGCCGAAACCCTAATCTGGTCTCCTAATTCTCAGTTGTCTACAAGTGGGCCACTTTGGGCCGATGACTACACATCACCAACA